TCCCCTGCCCGCGCCGCATTGCGGGAGCTGCGGGGCCCGGAGGGGGTGTGGGTCGGGCGCCTGGTCCTCCTAACCTACTGTCCGCCTGCTGTGGGAGCCGGCCCGCCTTTCTCCCGCGCCGGGACCTGGCACAGGGGCTGCTCCCAGCGCGCTGCGGGGGGTCGGGACCTGGCTGGGAATCACCCCCCACCCTTGCCTCAGGGGACCTGGGATGGTGGGGAAGGGAGGTTGGGGGGCCCCCACCCCCAAGGGGTCTCCTACCTGTCTCAGGCTGTGAGCAGGGAGAGGGCTGAGCTGTGGGATCATAGGAAATAAAGGTCGGGAGGGCATCTAGCCCCTCCCTGCTCAAAACAGTCCAAGCCCCAACTAGATCATCCCAGGCAAGGCTTTGTCTGCTCGGGTCCTAGAGAAGCAAGGCCCCAAGGGACCTCCAGAGGTTATCTAGTCCCATCTGCTGCCTGAGGCAGGACCAGCCGTATCCAAACCATTCCTTACAAACCAGAATCACAGAAAATGAGGGTTGGAGGGGACTTCAGGAGGGCATCCGGTCCAGCCCCCTGCTCAAAGCAGGACCATCCCCAACTAGATCATCCCAACCAAGGCTTTGTGTAGCCTAGTCTTAAAAACCTCCAAGGATGGAGGTTCCACAACCTCTCTGGGTAACTTGTGTTCTACCACCCTCCTCATGAGAATTGAATTTTTTTTTCCTAATATCTAACCTAAACCTCCCTTGCTGCAACTTGAGACCATTGCTCCTTGTTCTGTCATCTGCCACCACCGAGAACATCTGCTCCATCCTCATTTGAACCCCCCTTCAGGTAGTTGAAGGCTGCTATCAAATCCCCCCTCAGTCTTCTCAGCATCAACCCTGACAGCCTCCATGGACGAAGACTCCGCAACCTCTCTAGGTAGCCTTTTCCAGTGTTTCACTACCCTCCGACCATGAGAGTTTTTCCTCATCTTGAACCTCAACTCCCTTGCTGCAGCTTGAGACCACTGCACCTTGTTCTGCTTTCTGCCACCACCGAGAACAGCCTGACTCCATCTTCTTTGTAGCCACGCTTCCAGTGGTTGAAGGCTGTTCCTGGGTATCGCTCCCCAGTAGGTTGCTGTGTTAGTTAGGCTGAAGTAAGGGAAGATTTGCACCTTCTAGGTAAACTGAATCAAGAGGTGCATAGGAAGCTTTTGTGAGCCCTGGCATGCTTCATGGGGAGGCAGTGAGATCAGATCTGTGCAGATCCCTTCGCAGTACCCAGCAACATATGTGAGTTCGTACTACACAGTTTGTGCTCTATAGCTCTGATGTAGTTAGTCTAGAAGGTGCAAGTCTGCCCTGCCTTCTGTCTCTATCCACCCAGTTTATTCCCTCCCTTGATCTGTTTCTAACTTCTCCCTGCAAGAACTGATGTGGTTTGGCTACTAGGTTAGACAATGGATTTGTATAGGATGATTTGCATAGGGCTTATCCTGCCTCAGGCGGGGAATTGGACTGTAGATGACCTCTGGAGGTCTCTTCCAGCCCTACTTCTGTGATTCTGAGACAGGATCTAGGCAGTGACTTTGAGGAGGGAAAGAAGCCAGGCTTCTCTTCCCACTTTGCAGGTTACTAGACCCATGGGTTTGGTTCTGCAACATTCCCTCCCTCATATTTGTATGGCTTGGCCCTGCTGGGAGATTTGAACCATAGTAAGTATTGGCAAGCTACTAGTGGACGGTTGCTACAAAAGCAAGGTGCCTCAAGGACAAGGCATATCAGGGTGAGGTAGTTTGGGGGCTGGAGAAGGGTGCTTGCATGAGGAGCTGGCAGTGGGAAGCCTCACCTGGTGTTACCACACGGGTGTAGAAGAACAGGCCCTTATCTGCTGCCACCATGCACCTTCTGCAGGCATTCACATGAGTGCACAGGAGCTGCAAAAAGTTACCAGATTGGAGCAATGCTAGTGTCCTGCACCCACCCACTTGTGCTGACTAGACTAGAGCAAATGTTTGCACCGCATGCTGGTCAAGTTGACACAACATTATGGGGTTTTTCAAGCTG